TGATGTAATATCGTAATTATCTGAATAAAGCTAAGTGCTGGGGACCTAAGTGGTCACCTTAATATTAAAAAAAAAAATAATAAAAATATGAAATAAACAAAAATGGTGTTTGGTTGTTTGCTATAAACTTTTTGTTATCATTATCATTGCAGAGTTGGCATCTGTATAAAGAAATAATAGCACCAATCTACCTGTTACTCTTTTAAGACTTTCAAATAACCAAGTAAATATATTTTTAGTCTCATCAGAAATTAAAGCAATAGCTTCAAGTCTGAATTGGTTATAGTTATCAATTAATATAATAACACATAAAATCATTAAATATCTATTAGTTTTGGCTATTGTGTCAAGTAACATTATATCCCAAAAACAAGCTTACAACTGCTACTGATTTGGCCTTATCCAACAAAGAGCTATAAGGTGATTATCTTTGTTTTCAAACAGTGCATCTATATAGTAAGTTGGATTTTCCTGCTTTTGTTTTACTAGTTCAAGATACAATAAACTAGCATCACTACTAATACTTTTCTCACATCTAATTACTTGAACTATATTATAAATATTACAAGCATAAATATATTTTTCTGGATTCTTGCACTGCAAAACCTCAATAATAGTACCACCACGAACTCTAGAGGCTATAAAAAGCCTAACTTCATCACACATTTTTGGAGAAAGTTTATAATAGTAAGAAGCAACCATATTAATATTCTCTATGAGTTTATAATTATGTTGACTATCAATCTTTGTAATGTAAATCATATTATCTGTTTTCCGACAATAAGTATTTATATAAAACTTGCAATTTCCTGTATGATGCTCTTTATTATAGCCTTCAATTATATAGGCACTTTTTTGTACAATATAATTTTGATTTTTTATATATATGTAAACATGGTATCAGTACATTATATCTTTTTTATCCTTTTTGCTATATATAATTATAAACACAAAACTATTTTCTAGCCCATGACCATTAAGCCATCTTAAAAACCTAAAAAAAAATTACACAAAACAAAGCTTGATCAATAATTAATAGTTAACAATAACTATTAGGATTATTTATATTTTTACTTACTTATCAATCTTCTTTCAATCTGTAAAAGATATTTCTAGAGCAATTTGATATAGAAACTTTGATCTCTTATTACTTTCTTCAGTATTTAGAAACTCATTAAGTGATATTTCTCTAATGTTGGTTGTTCATTAAACTTCATCTATAACTAACTGATCAAAATCATCTTGCATATCCAAATAAAGCATATCTAGATCCTCATCAACTTCTAATAAAGTGATAAGTTTCTTATATCTGTTCTTGTTTTATATATATATAACTAATCAAAATTATTATTTGATTTACAAATATTAATGCTATAACTATAACTATCTTCAATACTAAATAATAAGAGAAACAAGGATAGCTCTTTTTGGTTGATAATATTATTAATAATACTGCTATAACTATTCTCAAGATCAAATAGCAAAAGATGTTCTGTGCTGTTAATAGTATTGTCATCAATATTGCTTTGGCTATTCTCGAGATCAAATAATAAAAGGTGCAAGAAAAGTTCTTTACTGTTGATAGTGTTATTGGTTATACTATTATAATTGTAGAGGGACAGAGGAGTTTTCTAGCTAGAGTATTTCTGCTCAGCTAGCCAACTTTAGTCTGTCTTTTACTATATTGATCTTTTTAGTTATTGTATAGCTATTTGTTCTTTTTTTATCTTGAAATATATCTAGAAATCTTTATTGCTTTCTTGCTTAGATGGAGTCTCTAAAATCTTAGTTTCAATATTAATTGATTTATATTTTTTGATATATTTTCATTATATAAAAAATCTATTGTATAATTATCTTTTTGTACTGTATGCTCGAATTTAGATATATTTAGATAACAATAAGTAAAAAATAGTAATCTTGATTGTTCTCTCAGAAATGGTTTTTATATCACATAATAGATCTGAATTTGCTTGTTAATAATAACTAATTAACTATACTTATCTGGACATGAACTTGTAAGTGAACAGAAGTAAGAATAAATTTTATTATAATATTTTAATGTATAATAGCTACTAACATGTATTTTATATTAACTAGGAGTAGCAAAAGTAGGCTTTCCACATACAAGACAGGGTTTACAAAATTTTGATAAATAATACTTTCAACATTTTTAGCTTTATAAAAAGATCTGTTATATAAAGAGCCATTATTGTGGAGATATTGGCAAGTATAAAGTAGCATTAGTATAAAATATTTCGTAATATTATTAATTAATTATTCATTAAATATAACAAATTTCAATTTAGAAAAAAATATAATTATATATAGCAAATAAAAAAACTATACTATGGCTAAACAAAATATTAATACAAATTCAATTATAGCAAAAGATATTAAAAAGATATTGCTTAAAGTTTTAAATATAGCAATTTGCCAAAAGTTTAAAACAGATAGCAAATTTATCAAAGATCATCTTAGTTATGTAAAAAAAATACAAACAGCTGAAAAACCAGAAAAATATATTAGATATATAGTGAGAAAGCTTGTACTAGATGAGGAAGCATATAATATAAAGATAGAAAAAACTTGTACTTGGTATTAAGAAGAATTGTGCCAAAAACTAGAAAAGCTATATAGTCATTATTATAGGTTATCTCAAAAAGAAATATCAAAAATAACAAAGAACATGCAAATGAAATTATTAAAGGTCTTCTGAATATGTTTATCGAATAACTAATATTATCTTTGTCTAAATAAAAAGCATATCTTACCAACAATTTTTTTGCTATATAAATACAAATAATTAATGATATATAACAACTATCATTATAGAATATCAGAATATTATATTTAAAAGTCTGAGGAAGAAGAATATAGTAAATTTGTCTCAGAATATAGATGGAGAAAAAAATGAAAGTGTTACTATTTCACTAATTAGGTTGAATATTTGCCTTTAGTATTTCATGTATTAAGTATCCATTGAGATAAAAATTGTACATCCTTAATAAATTGAAGTTCTTTTCGTATAAATAATCTTTTCAGTTTATCAAGTAATTTGTAAAGTACTGGTTGATTTTTTTGATTAATAGTTTTTTTAATACATTAAATCTGTGAAGACTAGTATATATCTGTAACATGATATCTTCCACCATCTAATTCACCTAGTTCGAGCAAATATCTTACTAAATCATTATAAGATAATCGAGATTCATCAAATTTCATAGAGCCATTATGAGGTAAAGAAGATTTGGTAATAATCTATTTCTTTTTTATTGTCTTCATAGAACTCATTTCAAGAAGTCGAGTTATAAAATTATTGAGATTTTTAACAATAATCGAAAGATTCTTAACCCAGGCCCAGGATCTCTTAGATAAAAGTAGCAATAAATTAGAAGCATCTTGTAATCAGAATAATCTTTTAGCTAATATTCTATTAAATCTTTTAATAATACTTTAACTATAATATGATATGTCTAACTTAATTTTTACATTATATTTAATCATTAATTCTATATATTTTTTACAAAACTCAATACCTTTATCAATATACAATAATTTTGGCCAAATAAGAGAGCATTTAAAATTACTATAAACTTTCTTAAAAGCTTTAGCTACATTACTAGAAGTCTTATCTGTTAAAGGAACAGCCCACTTAAATCTTGAAGCAACATCAACTATATATAAACAATATTTATAGGGAATTGCTATTTCCACTCCCTATTTTTGCTAATGCCATCCCCAGAAATCAAAAAGTGCTTCAAAATGGATATTTTTATTAAGTAAATCCTTCTTTTGGTCTTAATAAAAGTTGTTCATCAGGTCTTTCTGGTTCTAATAAAAGTAAAATCATTATATTCAGACCAGTAGTTCCTAAGATATATATATCCGAAGTTAATTAAATTTTATTTGCTTTTA